TGACTCTCTGTAAACCGCTTAGAGAGGCCTGAAAGGCCTATGAAGCGGTATATAAGTCTACTGCTATTGCTATTGCTATATTGCTATTGCTATATCAGTTTGTCAATGATATATATGTCAGAGATTCCATGTAGCAATAAAGATACGGAAAATTGGTTTAAAGCAATGTGTTAGGCAAAATGCAAGCACCACCTAGAATGTTATGCATGAGAATTGAGAAATGGGACTAGAACTCACCGTCTCCTAGTGATTGGCCCAAAATCTCCCAGCTGGCTTTCATGCCTAAAGTGGGACTAGAACTGATTGTCACCTGGTGATTGGCCCAAAATCACCAGTCCAGCTTTCATACCTAAGATAGACTAGAACTCATTGTCTCCTAGTTTCTAGCCTGGTGCCTTAACCATTTGACCAAACTGACTCTCTATTCATACCCCAACCTTTATTTACATCCAGAGTGCTGACGCTTTCTGATTTCAAATCTATGGAATAGAAGTGGTACAGGATTTCCTGCCTAAGCAGGGGGTTGGACTAGAAGACCTCCAAGGTCCCTTCCAGCTCTCTCATTCTATAAAAGGCAAATTTGAAATCCCAGCGGGAACCTCCGTTCTCCTGATCGTTTATTTGTCCTCCCAATTTTAGCTTCGACCTCATCTTCTCCAACTGGCTCTTCATGTACCTGTCGGATGTCGAGCTGAACGCTTTAGTCCATCAGATGCTTCTGTGGTTACGACCGCACGGGCATATTTTCTTCCGGGAATCGTGTTTTTACCAGTCAGGTGAGTCCACCTGAAAAACCAGATCCCAAGCAAATTTGGGAAGCGAGGCACCGACGTGTCAGGGTTGCATCCAGATTAGTGTCCTCCGATTTTGGGCGTATGTACTTCAACTCCCAGAATTCTCAGCGGTGGTCCTGCTGCCTGTGGAATTCTGGGAGTTGAAGTCGACACATCTGGGCCCTGGGAAACCTGGATACAGATACGTTGGCTGTATTAAACACACTTAGATGTACTTAACTTGGTTTCTGAACCAGCCAAAATGTGGAACCATAAACTAACTAGAGTTAGTTTACTGAGATGATGATCATGATGGTAACAGGAATAATATAAAAATCACTCAAGTTCAATCATTTTCTGACCTAGCTGCAGTTGAAGCTATAATTCTGGCAAAAAGTGTCTCTCTCGCCAAAGGCTAACAAGTCTGTCCGTCAGGGAGATGAATCGTTGTCTGCCACATCTATTCATCTCCGTCCGCTGCCTTTTATCCCCAGAGCTCGGGTGTGGCTTCCCTGGCATTGGTGGCTCTTCCATCCCAAGGACCAGCCCATAGATTTCCACTGCTCTCCTCTCCTCTGTCACATCTATTCATCTCCACCCGCTGTCTTTTATCCCCAGAGTTAGGATGGGGCTTCGCTAGCAGTGGTGGCTCTTCTGTCCCAAGGACCGGCCCATAGATTTCCTCTGCTCTCCTCTCCTCTGTCATATCTATTTATCTCCGCCCGCTGCCTTTTATCCCCAGAGCTCGGGTGGGGCTTCGCTAGCAGCAGTGGCTCTTCCATCCCAAGGACCGGCCCATAGATTTCCACTGTTCTCCTCTCCTCTGCCTTTTGCCCATCTGCGTGTCAGGCACTGGACCTATCTGTTCCTCCTCAGCCACCTCCAGACCCAGGGGCTGTTGACTCTCCATCTGAGGGCTGCTGGACAGCCCAGACTTGGCCGCTGTCTGTCTGTCTGTCTGTCTGTCTGTCTGTCTGTCTGTCTCTCTCTCTCTCTCTCTCTCTCTCTCTCTCTCTCTCTGCCAGTTCAATTCCCGCTTCCCCCTTTCCCATGTCTCCTCCTCTGATTCATTTAGAGCTGAGGTGGCGCAGTGGTTAAATGCAGTACTGCAGGCTACTTCA